CCTGGCTGGAGTCATCTGAGCCCAGTTTTTCTCCTGCCCACGCAGGGGATTGAACTTGAAGATCTACAAGGTCCCTTCTGACCCTACTTCTACGATTCTATGTTTCTCCGAATAGGGCGGAATCTCTGCCAAACTGAAATCGGGGACCAAAGCTTCGCACAGCCCTATTAGCTATTAAAATGCTTTAATACCCAATACGATAATAAAAACTGTGCTACCTTTGGATTTGAAATACATACAGCAGAAAAGCAGCTCAAGTCTCAATATATAACAGGATAGAATGTTACTGCACTAGTTTTTCCTGGTAGGCAAATAGCAAGTAGGAAAAAAAGGTTAAAATGGACTAGGGAGAGAGAAGGATCAAGGGGGGGATGGAATCTAATGTTATAGAAACCTATTCAGAAATGAGATAATATTCACATCCTTAATGAAAGAAAAAGCAAGTTGTGTCCTTGGCTGTTTCATGCTAAGAATATGACTACTCATAAGAGAAAACCCAAGTCCTTGAAATGTGCTTTGCATCCTTGTGTAGGAGAAGTATAGGCTTGGAAGGAACCTTAACAATCATCTAGTCCAATCCCTTGCACAGCTGAAATACTTAAGTGATGTGGCCTTAAAGACACTTTACCATATAGTATAGTTCAGAGATTCTCAACCAAGGTCATGCAAAGTAGGAATTCATAGCGTCAAGAACATTCTGTTCTGTTGTGGTTTTTGAGTTCTTTACAACATGAGAATTGCTCTATTATTTTTCTGTCAAAACAACAAGATGAAGCTAAATTGCTGGCATTTTCCAAGGGGTGACTTGAGCATCACTGGTAGAATCTAATATATTACGTTTAAAGAAAAAAAATGAAGATGAAGCAGAAAAGCACCTCTGTACAAACATTTATGATCTTACAAGACAACTATTTATTTATTTTGTTAAGAAATGAAGTGGGATTCCTAATCAGCTCTATAACAAATGTAATGTTGGGAGCAAACTTTCAATTTTACAAATATTTCTTATTTGGACAGTCTTGGCTTGCCACAATGGAAGGAGGAACTGGGACTTAGACTGAGATGCAGCTCCTGGTTGTTATATGGATTTTCTGAACACAGTAGAAAAAAAACAGAGCAAAGGAATTTACATACTGAGCAGATAACTAAAGAAGTAGACATACATCAGTAACTATGCAGCAGAACTGAGCTGACTGGATAAGACAATCCTATTCCAATGTAATGCTTAATTTGCATAGGCAAATTAAAACAATTAGGCAGAATGTTAGCTATATGATCTTAGATTTGTTTCTATTTTCTAGGTAAATATTATAACAAGTAATATTTATATAATTAAAATAGATTTAATAACACAAATGTAACTGTACCTTTTATTTAGATTTGTAGAAATAAGAGTGTCATAAATATCAAAGAGGAAATACCCAAATGGGGACATTTACATTTTTTATTCCCATGTAAATAAATATATTCAGTCATTAAATAGTGAAAAGTTATTAAAAAAATTAAAAACTTCACTTACCTTTATTGTCTGCAGCTATAAATCCAAGAATGTTTTCATGACGTAGCATAACAGTTTGATAAATTTCTGCCTCACGAAACCATGAGCGTTCTTCCCTTGAAGAGAATATTTTCACTGCTACTTCTTCTCCTCTCCATTTTCCTCGCCAGACTTCTCCAAAGCGACCTTTTCCAATGCTTTCTTGTAGTACTATGGTTCTCGCAATTGTTCTTTGAACAAGTAAGGGAAGACCTAAAATATTTAAGATTAAACAGTTAGTTGAAAATATTCATTGCTTATGAAGCAAGGTTTACTGATGAAAAGTTCTACAAGAGCCAAGCATAACACATGCCCTCTCTAACCACTACTTTTAGAATTCATATGAAATAAACTCCTAATTTGCTTTTGGAGATTCAAAACAGCTTCTTACATATTCATCTATATGTCTGATAACCCTTAAAAGCCAGTAATGCAACTGCTGGATGTTTAATATTTTACTTTATTCTAAAATTTTCATCTGTAATAAATAAAAAGTGAAATTTTAAATTTCCCTTCATTTTCAAGTTATTAAAACTACTACTTCAGTCTGTTGGATTCTTCATTAAATATAACAACCCATGAAAAGACCTAGACATCATCATCATGAACAGCTCAAATGCTGTGAGAAGCAGTAGTAAAACTTTAAACTCTTTTTTTTATATATATATAAACAAACTTAAAAACTGTTGAAAACAAACCCATTATTGAAAAAGGGATTCTGTCCTTACGTTAACTTTGGGTTTAATCTGAACATGCAACTATAGCCTATTTATCTCTGCACTGAAAGCTTCTCTATGTTCATCCAGCTTGGGGCTCCTGCTGGTTTTTTTCCAAAAAAGGTAGAGCCGTACTAGATGCTGCATTTTTTTTTTCTACATTTTCCCCCTACAACTTTAAAATATAGAGCTGTTCATTATATCAGGGTTTATACTCAAGCTTTCCCTGGCAAACATATAAGCTTTTTCAATGTTTGTAAAATTTTTACGTAGCCCAAATTATCCAATTCTTCTTCAGGAACTTTGTGCCAGTGTTTCAATAGGTTTGTTGTTTACAGCCAAGTGTGGATAACTTCATTGATAGCTTATAAAATGGCACTTTAAGGAAAAGTAAAAAGTTGGTCCAAGGCTCTTTGGTGCAGTTCTATAAGAGGTACCTGTCACTGTCTCAGTGATCTTCCATTACCTCATCAGATTGAAGGAGTGTACCAAACTGAAGTGTGGGTTTTGATCAGTCAAAGACTCTCACAAACAGCTAAAGAATTTGGATTCAAAATTTCTCTTTTGATTTTCAAATCTCCCTTGGGAAAGAAATTATTCACTAGAACTTCTATTACTGTTAAACCCTTTTGGTTTTACTGGATAACCTCTACCAATTTGTAAAATTAGTCCACAGTTACCAACAAATATTTACTACCAGACTGTCCATGACAAAGACCCAAATATGTCAAACAGCATGTTCACAACTAGTGCCCCAACAAAACACTGCATCAGAGGAGATCTCCCTATCCTAGGGGAAAAGACACATTTTGCAATATACCCATTAGGCTTCCTATACAAACTTTCTAAATCTTGCCTCTATTTTACCTAATGGAAACTCTTAACTTGGTTAAACTTTTTACAATGCCAGAATGTACAGTAGTTTTAAAAATCACAACTTCAGAACATTGTTCAACAATTTATCTGGTACAGCCAGCTAAAATTCGTACTCACTTCTCACCCATTTGCTCTTACTCATCTATAAAATACTTTCTTTTTAAACCAACCCTTCCCTCTATAACCAGAAAACTTTTACTGTGCTATTCTGTGGGGCTGCCACATTCCAAACTGCCAGCATTAACCAAAAGATTTTCCAGTCACATACTACACTGATATTTGGGGGTCTCTAGGGTAGAAACAGACATTTCATGACAGCATATTGGAGCCACCATAAGAATTTTTACGGAGGTACAAATGGTGAGCCAATAGACATCCCTATCCTTCATCATGCCACATTGGTGGCTGCGACAAGGAGTAGTAATATTATGCTCCATTTTATTCTGGCAGATATCCATTTGCTCCAGGTGCTTGAGGGGCCTGTAGGACATGGGACAGGATCTCCATAAGCAGAGAAAGCTTGGGCGGGTCCCTAGTGCCTGGGAAATCCCTGGTACCCATGCCTCCATGCCATGCTGGGACCTGCATAATCCAATACCTCCACACTAGGATCCACACCAACCCATGCTTTATGCATAGGCATGGATCTATGTAGGGCTGCCCAGGAGCCCCACCTCCACACTGGAACCTGTGCAGACCCATGTCTCTGTGTGAAGTGCAGCTCGAGAGAAGCTCACCAAGCAACACCCCTCAAACATGCACTGCACAAACCAAAATTGCCAAATTTAAAACTGTCACAAGATATGTCCTGCTGTGAAAGCAGCTTTTATCTCTGTTTCTCCTTGCCAGTGCCTACTCCAGTGATTTTCAATGAGGGTACCACACAAGGTATAAGGAGATAAGCATAGATTTCATAGACATTAGCTGGAAGGGACCTCGGAAGATCATCGAGTCCAGCCCCTTGCCCAAAGGGCAGGAAGTCAGCTGGGGTCATAGGATCCCAGCAAGATAAGCATCCACTTTTCTCTTGAAGGTGTTCAATGTAGGTGCTTGAACCACCTCCGATGGCAGGCTGTTCCAGACCGTGGGGGCTCGGACAGTAAAGAAATTCTTCCTTATGTCCAGCCTGAAATGGTCTTGCAGTAGTTTATAACCGCTCAACCTCATCATCCCTTGGGGCGCTCTGGTGAACAAACGTTCCCTCAGATACTGGTGGTCACCCCTGACAAACTTATAGGTTCAGTCTTGGTCCTGCCTGGCTAATCTCCTAGCCCCACTGCCCAGTCCCTCCACAATGAAGCAAGCACTGTAAAAATATAGATTTTTTTTAATTAGATGCCACTCAGGGTCACAAAAGATATGAAGGGGTACATCAGATCCAGTATGGTTGAAAACTACTGGTCTACCCTTTAGATACAGTATAAGAAACCAGACAGCCTACTACAGCATGCAGGATGTAATCCAATCCTGTTAACAGATACATATCCTTTAACAAATAAAACAACACGAATAATGTACAGAGCATTCAAAATCTAGCGCTGCCTTTTTTTCTTAACCAAACTAAAAGTAAGGTCCAAAAACTGAATAAAGGATTTTTTTTTGCCTTTTTGATGCATTTTCCTTACCAGCTAGTGAACAGCAGGTGGGTTGTTTAGTGGAGCAGTTTTCCACACTTACCTGTTTAGTGCCAGATTAGTGCAATAAAGCTAACATCTCTGATAAAAACTGGTGTTCTCTCCATTTAAGCAGAAGAATCTTAAACGGTTCTGTAGTTCCACATTTAAATATTTTGGTACAGAGTGGCATATATGCACAGAACTCTGGTAGCTCAGTTTTCTTCCATGCTTCTTTTCTTTATTAACACAGTACTTATGTTGGTGTTGTGAGCCAGTGGCTCATAATTTTGCAACCACAGCTATCTTTACTAGTATCCAACTGTTAAAAGCATCAGCAAAAGGAATATGTTCCTGGAGGGTTGCCAACTACAGCAATTTACGAACAGTGCATAAGGGGCTAAAAATGCTTATCCACAGAGTCCACAAAAAAAAGGAGCTATCCATAAAAAAAAAAAGAGGAAGAAAACATGAGCTTGACTGAAGATCCATCATTAGAATGGGGCTGGATGCAAGAAACACTGACAAGCAGACAGAACAGCATCACCTTGTATCTGAACAGGAGCACAGCTCAGTGCTCCGTTGGGGTTTTTAGCCCAGGTGACCCTCCACAACTCCCCACCTCCTGCCCTTCCAGGAACATGCAGACACTATCTTCCTGTCCTGCCTTTAATAGTCATTTGTGTTGAAGGTGAGCAGGAATGCATAGCCCTCGGCAGTCCGGGACACTGGACAGTCAAAGAAGGGGGCAGTATAGCTGGGACAGAGCTGTAGGACCAGGAGTGGGAAATTACTATTGCAACTGTAAGGGACACATCAGAGATCTTGGCATAAGTGCCTCCACCTCACAGATATCCTCCATTACACAAAGACTGGAATTGCATGCTGGTGCTGTAAGTATGGACCCAAGTAACAGAAATTTTGGGTTAAGCTGCAAAAGTGTGGCTAGGAGCAGGCAGCCTCAAAAGCCTGTTTTTAAGGTCCCCTTTACATGTTACATTTTTGCCAAGATTACCATGTTAATAGCAAAATAAATAAGAAGGGTGGTATGAAATGGAAAACAAGGCATAAAAATGTCTACATACATTGTTTGCATAGTGCCTAAAATTTAATGTGTAACCAGTAGCCAAGAGCTCAGTGTCAGCCCAGCCAGATGCTGCAGGTAGGGAAAGCCAAAGGGCTTCACCAGCTGGGGACTTTGAATCCTAAGCTGAACAAGCCCTGGGCAGGCAGCCCAGCGTGAGAGAAGAGGCAATGCTTAAAGAAAAAAAAGAGGGGGGCAAAAATGCTCCTGGCTGGCTGGATCTGGGGACTAAAAATGGCTGCTAAAACAAGCTGCAATGTGCCCCCCCCCACAGGCTGACAATCAGGCAACCAGCTTGCAACTTGTCAGTTCAGGGGGAGCCCAGGATCACGATCCCAGTCCCAAAATCACACACCTTGCCACACATGTATAGTACAGTAGGATGCACAATTGTATCAGGGACCAAATCCAACTGGGCCCTTAAATGAACAACTGCCAGGGGCCTGAGTGAGCACAACATGAGCATTTGAGGACAATTAGCTTGGTCAGCAAAGAAAAGAAAGTCGTTAACGTGTCCATCTGAACCAGATCAGATTAAACAGAGCCCAAAGCCTTTAAATTAGATAATCCAAATACTATATCATGTCTTATACATGTTAATAGGAGTACCTGATGTAACCACATGCATTAGAGGTAGTTTGAAAAGATGTATGCATGTTAGGTTTCTTAGGCTGCTTAGAAGAAGAAAAAAAAAGCCACACCAGAAGAAAGCACCCTTGTCAATGAAAATCATAAACTAAACTGATGGAACTGAACATTCCACCCTGGTGAAGAAAAGAGTTAAGGAATCCTTCCTTCCAGATGTGTAAATGTCACAGAAACAAATGCCAACTAAGTGACGATTTCCATATCATAGAACTGGTTCTATCAAGCCCCAAAAGTTTCAGTGAAACAAAGAAATTTGAATATAGCCGATCAAAATAT